TCTCTGCCTCCTCACCTAACTTATAAATTCTAACTCTCTTAAGTACGGCAATTCAAGTCTGCCCATCTAAGCCCATCAAGAACCTCTGTTGAATAAACCAGTTGCTGCGGAGTTGACTCCGACTCATACTGAGCTCGTGTGGGTCAGAGTAGAGCTGTGCTCTGCAGAGTTTCGATGGTTGATTTTTCAGAAGTAGATCTCAGGGCTTTCTTCCAAGGTTCCTCTGGGTGGATTCAAACCTGCAACCTACAGTTAGCCGCTGAGTGTCTTAACTGTTTGCACCACCCAGGAACTCCAGAGGAACAAATGGTCTCTGCTATTGACCACAGGACCAGCAGAGACCCTCAGCTCCCAGACTTCCTTCAATGATACCCAGCTCCTTGGAAGGCAACCCACCCAGGTAGAAGTCATTCAGCACCTTGCACTGCTGATTGAACTTCATCCAAACGAAACTCTCTCCTCAGAACACTCCAGTCTTCCTCCTGCTTCTCCTGCTCAGTCTCCTTTGTGGAGACTTGCTTTTGCCTAACCCTTGAGCTAAGGGGTTTCCAGGGTTCTATCTTTGGCCCTCTGCTGTTGCTCATTCTAAGCTAAAGAGTTTCTGGCTGCACATTAGAATCACCTGGTCATATGTGTGTAAGAGGGGTGGGGTAGGGGGTGCTTTTTAAAAACTTGATGTCCAGGCTCCAACCTAGACCAACAGAATCAGAATTTTTGGGTGTGGTACCCAGGACTTTGTAAATGTTAAACCTCTCCAGGTGATTCGAATGGGCAAACAACCAGTTTCTCCATTGTGGCTGCACACTGGAATCATCTGGGGAATTTTTAAAACATACTAAAGCCTTGACTTTGCCTCAGACTAATTAAATTAATTGTCTGGGGGTAGGGCCTGGGCTTCTTACTATTTTTTTTTTTTTTAAGCTTTCAAAATGATCAAATTGTGCAGCCAGGGTAAGAAACATTGCTCTAAATATTCCATACTGGGTAATCTCAACTACTGCCAGGGCATCAGCCACCATCTCTAGGGTAGTGATTCCTCAATCTCTCTCACTGGAACCCACATTCCTTATGACCTACAGGTCATTTCCACCTGGATACCCCACAGGTATCACATACTCTATTTCTAACTGATTAACCAAGCCAAACCTGAATGTTATCTCAACACCACCTGTATCCTTGGTGGTCTAGTGGTTAGGATTCGGTGCTCTCAACCCAACCTGTGCCCTTCCCCACCTTGCACCCCCCAGATAAATAAGTCTACCAAGTCCTATAACCTACTCAACCTTAATGTGTCTATTTCTCATATCCATCCCCTCTTCACAATCCTCACCATCTTCACTGCTTTCAGTTAGGAGGCCTTCTTTGCCTCCTACTCAAACTATGATCACATTATACTTAATCATTTTCTCAAGTCTCTTCTCCATCTAAACCATCCTCCATACTGTTAACCTTAAAAAGTAGTTTTAGGGCTGATATGGAGGCGAAACTAGAGACACTCATATACTTTTGGTGGACTAGAAATTGAAACAGCACCTTTGGGGGTAATTTTGTAATATCTTTTGTAATTAAAACTGCATATATCCTTTGACTCAGTCATTCCACTTTAAGTAATTTGTTCTTCACATATAATATACTCGCACCTGCATGCAAAGAACTGTGCAAGGATATTTATTACAATATAGTTTGTAACAAGAAATATTTGTAAGCAACTTAACTGTCCATCAATAAGGAAATGATATATCCATACAACAAAGTACTTTATAGCATTTAAAATTAACAATATATGTCTATATTTGCTGACAGGAAAAAATAGCCATATTAAGATATATTAAGTGACTAAGATGCTCAGGAGTTCTGGTGATGTAGTGCCTAAGGCATTTGACTACTAATCAGAAGGCTGGAGGTTCAAACCCACCAGCCACTCCTTGGAAGGAAGATGGGGCAATCTACTTCCATAGTGATACCGCTTCAGAAACCCAAGGAGGGAGGGATCGCTATGAGTCGCTACGCTAAGAGAGGTCCTATATCACCATAATAATATAAATACTGACTGTTGTTGTTGTTGTTGTTGTTTTTGCCATCGAGTCACCCCGACTCATAGCGACCCCTCCTTGGGTTTCCGAGGCAGTATCACTACGGAAGTAGGATTGCCCAACCTGCCTTCCGAGGAGTGGCTGGTGGGTTTGAACCGCCAGCCTTCTGGTGAGCAGTCAAGTGCCTTAGGCACTATGCTACCAGAGCTCCTAAATACTGACTAGTGATAACCAAAAATTACACTATATATTGTGAACCTGGGATAAGGTTAAGTATCTCTGTTAGAAAGGGAAAGGGAAAGGGAAAGGTAAAGAGGGGGACTAAGAAACTTAAATCCTTACCTTCTAAAGTAGAATGCCAGCAGATAACTAAAACTGAAAAATCAAGAAATAGCAGTAGACATATCTTATTAGTAAATATGGGAGCTCTGGTAGCATAGTGCCTAAGGTATTTGACTGCTAACCAGAAGGTTGGTGGTTCAAATCCAGCAGCCACCAGAGGCAAATAGAAAAAAATTGCTAAAAGAATTGAAAGTGGTTCCCTCAAAGGTGTAGGAATCAGAGTAAGATGGATGGCAGTTGTATTATTTAAATTCTTAAGTTGTGAACATGTATTACTTTAATAAAAATCTAAAGAGCCAACAGGTAAAATAAAATTGTCTCTTATTTTAGATGGGATGCATCAGAGTCACCTGGGAAATTTCTTCAAATATACGTGGACCTGCTACCTTAGAACTGGGATGTGAAAAGAACTGTCTAGCTTGAGAAATCTTAGGGAAATAATGGCAGTAAAGAGTTTAAGGCTGGCACTCAGCAGGTGCTGGGAAAATGATAACTATGGTTATTATATTATTATGATCTATATTAACAGATGATCATGATTGCCTTCTCTCTGCCAATATCTTTCAAACTACTCTTCTAAAAATTAGTGTGCCCTTCTCCTGTTTAAAATCCATCAATGACTTTCCTGGGCCTTCAAGATTAAATCCAAACTCTTTAGCAGGAAATATAGGGTCATTGCAGCCAAACCCTTACCTGTCCTCTCTGCCTCTAATTTCTGGTTTCTCTTGCCTTTACCTGCCCTAGTGAGGCCCCTGTCAACTTCCACTTTTTGGAATTGTTACATATAAGAGGGAATGTCTAACTTACCATGAGTAATGCCTCTCTGATCACACATTCTCTGTTTCCTCTGCTGTATCTTCCTTCTGCTGCTAACTCTTAAGGGTTGAAGTCCTGTCTATATACCAAGTCTGCTGAAATAAACACTGCCAGCCCAGACCTCTTGCCTCAACACAATACTCTCTATCCAGCTGCCTACCAGACATCTCCCTTTGGATGGCTAATAGATTTCTAAGCCTTACAGGTCCAAAATGGAAATCTTATTCCCTCTCAAACTTATTCCTTCCTTACCCTTTCCCATCTTAGCAACCACCCAGTTGCTCAAGCCAAAATTCTAGGAACCATCCTTGGTGCTTCCCTTTCCTTCATCCTGCACATCTAATTCATTAACAAGCTTTGTTGTTTCAACCTTCAAAATGTGCCTCAAATCTGTTCATTTCTATTTCCACAGTCACCATTCTGGGTTATTGCCACAGCCTCCTCACTAGGCTTCTACCTTCTTTGTGAAATATCAGATTACATCCCTTGCCTGCTTAAAACTTTCCAGTAGTATCCCTTATTATTCTTTCAAATGAAACCTATATCCCTTACTTTAGAGTATGAGGACATATACAACACAATTCCTGCCAACTCTCTAACCTCACACAGCAGTAAGATCATCTCATAATCACCTAGCAGGGAGCCTATTTAGCCTAGCACCAAGAATAGGAGCTTCTCTCCCCTGTATCCTTGGGCAGTAGCTTTCTGTTTTCAATAAGACACAACAACATATACACAAATATAATTCATACCTGCTCAGCTACATGAGGGGATAGGAAGGTAACTTAGCTACAGAACAAAGGCCTTCCCTTTTCCTGGTCTGTCCCAGCAACAATGTCTACCAGTTGCTTAGGTGGTTTCCACTATGCTTTCCCCACCATACACCTTCACAACTGTCCAAATGGACCAAATTAAAGGGGTTAAAGCAACCCAGACATACATACCACGCCCACACGCCTTAAAAGAAGCACTATCACCCACAAATGGAAAGTCTGGCCCTCACCATCAGGGAGAATGAAGTGTGGCATTTTAGAACACATTCATCAGGACAGTGGCAGACTTGGTCTGCGCTCAGACACCTCCACTGTGGCCACTTCAGCCCCCAGGGAGCTTTCTGATGGCACAATGGCTTTCTATTCCCTCTCTCACTTGTGATTTGTTTTAGTAGCTTCAGAGGACAATCAGGAAGCTGGATAACTATGCATTCTTCACATCCATAAATGTGTCCTGATTAATCTAAAATTATAAGAACATACAGACAGTGCTTTGCAAATAGCAAGAGACACATGCCCTCTAAATAATTAAAAAATACTTCCTGAAGGAATGGGTATGATAAAGCCTAATGTCAACAGTGCTTAAGCACTTTCTCCTATATGTGCCTGGAATTAAAATAGAACTGTATTTACTCTGGTTTCTACAAATATTTCTAGGATGCAGAGAATCAGCAGCATAAGAGAAGATCCGTTACGACCTATCTACATGCTGAATGTCTCAAAGCACACGCTCAGGGAACAGAGAAATCTCCTGATGTCATCTACTGTGGATTTTGGAGGCTGACCAACCAAGGTTTGAACCTTGGCTCTGCCATTTACCTGTGTGTCCTCGGCAGGTTCCTTCACTTTCCTGAGACCCAATTTGTCTATATAAACTGGGAATAACACCTCCTCCTTACTGAGGTATTATGGAGTTTAGGGAGAAAATGGAGATAAAGAGTTTAAAACTACACTCAGTAAGTACTGGGTAAATGATAATAATTACAATTACATTATTATTGCCATTATTAGCAGTGATTCTGAGTCTGTTACTAACCTCCGGCCATCCCCCTTCTGGGCCTTCACCCAGTGCTCCACCTGGGACAGGCTGCTCTTCTTCTGGTTGTGCTTTTCAGGGTTAGTCCTGGAAGGAAAGACCCGCGGGTACGCGCCAGTCCCATTCTGCTCTCCTGGACCATATGAAGTGGGCAGCATGCCATTCTTCTCTGCGCGTTGGGGCTGTGCCTGCTGGCCTCTCGAGCCACCAGGTAAATCCACAAACAAGGCATCCTCCTCAGTTGGTGAATAGGGGGACCTAGCCTTGCTCCTGTCCCGCTTGCCCTCTAGTGGGTCCCTCTGGGAACGACATCGCTCTTCCTCTTGCTCCCTCCTCTCAAAGCCAAAGGACTCATCATGACCATGATGAGGGCAATCCCTTGTGTGTCCGGGTCCCATGTGGCCACACTCGCGACAGGACTCTGTGTGGTTGGCCTGGGGGACGGCTTGCCGCTCCACCTTCTCCACATCCCTGCAATGACAACAGCACAATCAGCCCATGCCAAACGGCACAGAAGTGTTTCCCACTGTAAGGTGTTTTTTGCCCTGCCACCTTGGGGCAGAGACCCAGTTCTGCCGTATCCCAATTACCTGGTACCAGGGACACAGCAGGGACTCAATAAGCTTTGCGTAATTTAGACTGGGAAAGCAGGCCCAGCCTAGATAGAAAAATTACTAGGCACCCTTGGATTGGGGCAGTCAGTCTTCTTGTACTCCTTGGTAAAAAGGTCCTGGCCCTGAGATCCATCACTCCATGAAATGGCCAAGCCAAAGGGATCTCCATTTCAAGCTGAGAGTATAAGATGTAAATAATGGTTCATTTAAATATCAATAGCCAGATCCCAGGTATCCATGCAAAAATCTCACAATTTGTTACAAATAATCAACATAGGCTCAGACTAGAATCAATCTAAAAAAAATAAAAGAAAAAGAATCAATCTAGATCTAGTTTGAGGACTAGTTAGAATGGCTAATGTCAATATAAAGTGAAAATACAATCCCTAAGACAGGGTCTGTCTGCTTTTTAGTGTGTGTAGACTCACTGTTGGCCTTAATCTAGGCATGGAGAAAATGAAAAAGCAATTACACATCTCACTGCCTATGTACTAATACTTTTTCCATGAAAACCTAAAGTGTTGTGAAAAACAGTGCTTCTTTGGACCTCTTTTTTCCATCTCTTTTTTCCCCTTGTATCTGGGAGCTCTGGTAGCATAGTGCCTAAGCCTGACTGCTAACCAGAAGGCTGGAGGTTCAAACCCACCAGCCACTCTTCGGAAGGAAGATGGGGCAATCTACTTCCGTATTGATACTGCCTCAGAAACCCAAGGAGGGGTCGCTATGAGTCGGGTCTGACTCGAGGGCACATA